TTAAGATAGATCTAGCTGTCCTTTACATCCATAAACGTTATTTGTCAGTGGAACAAATGGAGTGAGCTTTGAGCGTTCCACGATTTTTGGAGACTGTCTATACGCGGGCTTCCTAAACAAGCCTATATGTATGTTTGTCCAAGAAATTTTTGGATGAAATACAAACCGCACAACTTCAAAATCGCATAAAAATAATCCGCATAAAAAGAGACCTTACAGTACTTAGTTCTTATATCAGAGGACTTAGTAGAATGCACACTCCAGGGCACCTGACATACAAGTGCTGTAGTCATAAACTACCAGAGGATATCCAGGTTTTTATGATTTTCTTTGACATTTAAAATTGATATTACCATAGAAAGAAGAAAATCAAGCAATCACTTGTAAAATAGGAACATTTTGGTTTTTAATATAAAATATCTTTTTTTACATTTATTATTATTGGGCTATAACTAGGCTACTATCTAATAATTAAATATAATTAAATAGTAGCTTTTTATAAAACTCGGGTTAATAAAGGTTTATATTTGCATATATTTATTATTGAACATCCTCTAGTTATATCTAGTTTTTTGTATAATCAGAGGATATATCAGGGTTGTCCAACTTTTTTTCCTAATGGGCCAAATTAGAAATTTAGGTATATTCAGCAGGCCAAAAGGTATTTTATATAAATACAGTAGAACCTCGATTATCCGGACTAACTGGGGATGAAGGTAGTCCGGATAAGGGGAAAATTCGGATAATCGAAACAAATACTTTAATTTGTCTTTTAATGATAATACAACACGTTTTCTTTTCGATAACATATTGGTAATATTAAAAGTAAATACTGTATTTAAACCGTAATCAAATTTTCAAGAAACGTTCGTATTGAATTTGGACTACTACTGACCAATGCTAACAGACAACCTATTGTTTAAAAGGCCCTCTGGCAGCGCAAAAAGACTGATTTTAAAAAATAAAAAGCAGTTGAAACTGCATTTTTATGAATAAAAATTTGACAAACTATTTATCATTTTATGATGAGTAAAATTTTTTTGTCGCATTCACAGCTTTTAAGTAATGTATAAACCTTCGAAATGCGAGGCCCTTTGGACCGCGAGGCATAGGCGGTGGCCCACCGTTGCCCATGCCTTACGCCGCCCTTGGTCATAGAAATGATGTAATTTGAAAATAAAATTATTTATAAATACATATGTCAAGTTTATTTTTATTACGACGCAAAATATATTTAAGAGTTTATGGCCACTGTGCCGGGTGAGACGTTGTTGAAACAAAAAAAGTTATGCATTCCATCACGTACATAAACAGTATCGTAATTCGCCAAGTGCAAATCAGCAAATTCATAAAATTTTTGTTTATTTTGAACAATCCAGATAATAGAGGTCCGGATAATTGAGGTTCTACTGTATATGCTTTTAAAAAGTTCAAAATGTGAATATCAAATTTTAATAACAAATATATATAATTACAAAAATACCATATTAATAACAGCAAAAAAGTTATACTCACACAAAATAAAAATAAATTCAATGTGATTTTTGACATTGCCTTTCTTTTATAATTTTGTCAATATCTGCTTTTATGATACTAGTCTTAATTCTAAGAATGTTAGTTAAATGGAAATTACTCAACCTATTCCTTTCAGCAGTTTTGATGTTTTTCATGCACGAAAAGAATTGTTCACAAAAGTATGTACTACTCCACATGCATAACAATTTTCTAGATAAATTGACAATTTCATCTAATTCATTGAAAGAATGAACTTCTTTATAAAATTCAAGAAGAATGTTCTCTATGATAAGTTTTCAAAGATTCCTTGCTTTAAAGTTCAATGAGTTCTAGCTGTTATTCGGCTGGTGCTATCTCATAATTAAATGAAAATGAATCACTAATCAATTTTAATTCAGTTTCTATTTTTCTGCAGTCAAAAAATCTGATTGTTAAATCTTTTAACAAAAGTTCACATAATTTATATATTTTTCAAAGTTCACAGGAAATTCTTTTCTTTTCAATAAACTCTGAAAAAGCACAATTTCACCAGCTTTCAATTGTGTTATCAAAGTTGTATCTTCTTAGTAAACCCTATTATTCGCTAAACATAACTGGTCTTTTCCTTGTAAATGCAAATTAAGTTTAGGCAACATTTCAGTGATATCTACTAAGGTAAGATCATTCAACCATTTTTCATTTTCTAAAATATCTACATTTTGCTTCTTGCTTTGCATGAACTCTTTTATTTCAGGTAACAATAATTGAAATCTTTTTAATGCTGCTGTTTTAGTGAGCCATCTGACTTTTGAGAAATAAATGACATCTTCAGACTCACTGCCAACTTTTTCCAAGTATGCATTGAATTCACGATGGTTCGAGCCCCAAGATCTGATAAAATTCACAACTGTCACAAGATCTGTCATTAATTGATTCATGTTTAACTTTTGAGCACATAATTGATTTTGATAAATAAAATAGTGGTAGTTGAATATATCATGATCAACCGATTCCTAGAATAAAGTAATAAATCCATTATTTTTACCAATTAATGCAGGAGCATAATCAGTTGTAATTGAATAAATTTTATTTCTATTAATATTAAACTTTTCAATGGCTAAATTAACACTAACAACATCACTTCATTATAAAGATCTTTGAAAACTGAAACAATCAAAATGACAGACCACACCACCAACTTTTTTAATTGGTCAGTTACAATTCATGCCACCAATTACGTCAGTACGACATCAAAATATATCCAATGAAATGAGAATAATTTTTATGGCATACTTTATCAAAATAAATAAAATGTACCTAAAAAATTTAGGTGCAGTGGGCCAAGTAAAAATATTAAGTGGGCTGCAGGTTGGACATCCCTGGAATATATGATATCTCTAAGAAAAAAACACACAAGGTATGTACTGTACTCCTCTACATCATCCACTAAAGCCCTGTATACAACCTTTTTTTCATGAAGGTTTGTCTCAAAATGCTTGATACACCAGCTGCATATAGCAGTAAACATTTTAATAAATTTTTCTCAGCAACTTAAGGTGTTATGGTGTAGTTTATAGCAGTAAAGCATGTATTCTAGTTGAAATCATTCAGTAACATCTCCATTAAAGCCATATAATTGTCTTCTGATAACATTTTAATCTGCAGACAACTTTGCACATGTTGTCAACAAACATTGCACATCAATTTGTATCGTTGAAACTACAGATTAGTTTTATGTCTGCAGCTCAGATAACAGACATTTTTGTATGAGCCATGAAGGAAGCAGATATTAAATCAATCTATACAAAAGCTAAAAATTCAGCAAAAATTTCACTTAAATGAACATTTTTGTCCACATTCCATTGGACATTGTCAGGCTGTAGAATTGGAAATGGAGCTGCACTATTTGAATATTCAAATCCAATGCATTGTTGTCCATTGATTGGTGGAGATGTTTCTGATCTAGTTGGTCGCTGTTTGGAAGAAATATTCACCATACATACCTATGGTTTATGTGGAAAAAAAGGAAAAATTTCCACAAGTTGGGGAATGTGTTATCATCTTGAAGTTGAATGTCTTCTTATTCAACACTGCCTTGTATATTTCAAGCCCTTCAAAGTAGCAGAGTTGCACTCTGTTGGATGTTTGGTGGAAGATCCTATTCCTATCCAAATGGACCTGGTTTGTGATAGTTTGTAATTTTTGTGTCCAGGCAGTACAACATGGCTTTTCTAAGAAGTCTATCATGGGGATCATAGAACACCATACCATCCATGCATATCCTGAGACCTGCAATCCTCTACAATCTGAAACATACAAGGCAGTCATGTACTGTACAATGCAGCACTGGCCCCTATTTACAAAGAGACAATACACATCAATAACATCAAGCTAGCCTAAAAAAGGAGCCCAGACATTTTTTCTCTCCTTAGAAATGCCAAAGACCTGCCAGTTTGTCAACATTCATCAGGTGTATACTTCATGTTGGATTCAAATATTCAAATAGTGTGGCTCCATTTCCAATTCTACAGCCTGACAATATTCAATGAAATGTGGACAAAAACATTTGCGTAAGTGAAATTTTTTCTGGATTCTTGGCTTTTGTGCAGGTTGATTTAGGACAATTTAACCAGCATTCAACCGTCATATATTACAATATGGAAGCAGACATGTTGTAAAGATATCTAAATTTAATGACAATGTTTCAATAACAATTCTGCCCAACCATGAAAAAAAACACAGCACATCATACATAGCATTTGAATACATGTCAATGTTTGTCAATGTGTGATACATCAAAATGTGTGAACACAGCATTTGCAAAATTTCTTACACTATCCCTATCTCTGATTCATTCAATATGTCCAAATCTGTGTATGAAATCATGTCTTGGGACAAACAAGTCCCAAGACATGATTCCATACACATCAAATTTGCATAATTCTGCCTAATTCATAAGTGTCTGCTCTTTTCACATTTATAGATTTTTTCTCAATTCTTTTGTTCTTAAATTATGCTTAACTCTTGGACAATATAATATATATATTAATATACAGTAGAAAACTCTTTCTAGCACACAACTCAGTCACACAAACTTTTGAATAATGCGTCTTGCCAAAGTAGAAGAGGTACAAAGAAAATTTTGAAGAATCATATCTCATGAAAAGTCATTCTTTAATCAAAACTTAAACAAATATGAAATCATCATTTGCATTTCTTCTTTATTGAAAATAATGTGTATGTTTCAAATTAATCATTTCAAAAAGTTTCATTTAAACCTGAGTATTTTCTTAATTAAAGTTTAAAATTATTTCTGGTTTGTCTTGTTTTAATATTTTTACAGTTATGTAAATATTTTGTTTTTATTTGTGTAGTTTTGTAAAAATTTAAACACACAATACTCGAGTTTTTATACTTTTTGAACGGTGACATTTTTAACTGTTAAAAAGTCTCTATTCATACCTGTTTATAAATATATAAATTGTAAAAATTTTAAAGCAACCAACCTGATACAATTATTCGGATCTCGATCACAATTGATATTGCATTTAAAACGTTCCCACGCAAGCCATCCCATTGGAGGTGTTAAAGCTTCGCCATTATTTAATGAATATATACGAGGAATTAAAACCGAGAGAATCAACAGAAGCATTACATTTCCCATAAACACGTGCCTTAAACAACCCATGTATCTAACACATATGGGATAAAACAGTATAAACCTTGACCTTTTTGACATCTTCTCTTCTCTTAATTATTAACGTAATTATTCTTTTTGTTAAGTACTACGTTTTTAAACATTAATAATAATCATTGAGACAGATAAATAAAAAATATCTTCGGTTTAAAAACTTAAAACTTAATAAACATAGCAGACGAAAGTTAAACTTTGATTGCGAGAAATGAATGCTGCCAATTGTCAGAATTTTTTTAAATTCATAATGCGTGTATTAAATATATATAATTATTTATTATTTTAACAAATATATATCAAATAATTAAAATGTAATTTATATCATGTTAAAAGGAGGTTTATTTATAATAAAA